CTCTCTCTCTCTCTCTCTCTCTCTCTCTCTCTCTCTCTCTCTCTCTCCCACACACACATACTTACGTCTCTCTCCCTCTCTTATACACTGACCTCTAAACTGTCACGAGCAAAGGATCCTCTATCTGAACTGTCCTCTTTGTTGGACATGTCCCTCCTGTCAGTAAGCCCTGCCCTGTCTCCTTTTACTCTCTCCTCCTTGTTCCCTGCTTCAATAACCAGGCCTTCTACTATTGTCCATGCCAGTGCAAACATATATGAAGCATTTCATTCCCAAACAAGACATTTTGAAAATACCAGCAATTCCAGGCATGAGAGTGAAAATCATCACTGATTATATCTAAAGATTTACAGCTAATTACGCTTTACACACACACAGCCTTGTACCAGTGACCTGATGTAGGCGGAGCTCCTCTCTTTCTACGACGGTCATCAAGAAGCTTGTTGCCACGGTAACGGTGCAGATGCTGAGTATGCGAGACGCAGCGGTGTCCCTCTCCTAGATACAGACAGAGACACTACCAGCAGACAGGAAGAACAACCGGGCGGAGCTCCGCTCGTTCGTCCAGCACCGACTGCAGCAACAAAGAAGTTTACCAGAAAACAAAGAACACGGAAATAGTTTAATGTATTTGATGGAGTCTGGCTGATGGCCTGTAGACTACTGTTCAGGGTTTTATTTGAAAAAGCTTTTCTGCTTGAGAACCACCCCCCCCCCCCCCCCCCCCTCAAAACTGCGGTCATCTCTGAGCTCATGCAGTTTAAAAGTCTCTCTTTTTTTTTAGCATGGATTATCTCGCCAACAGAGGAGAGGTTCGCTTTGAGGCATTGCATCTCAGCGGAAAGGCCTCTGGCCACAATAAAGAGACATAAACAAGCTGAGGCTTGTCATATGTGGGGCCGACAAAAAGTTCAAGAACAGTGGACTATTTTGGGAAGTTTTTGGGGAAAGCATTTAAATCTATTCCTTTCTTGCCGAGCAGTAAGATGGGAGTTGACCATTCAAGTGCTGCCATACTGGGACAGTCTGTTGGCTTTGAAAATGTAAAAGGAGTCCATCCATTGCTACAATACAGTACCTCTGTAATACATAATGTATTAGTTTGCCCTTATGTTCTTTGCTGGACCTTGTATGTCCGTGTGTAATGTGTAATACGTTTGTCCTATTTCAACAGCTTAATGCTGGGGTAATTTGACATGTTATAATATCAAATAGATATTTATTTTACGTATATTGCCTTTCCAGGTATGTCTTGTTGATGAATACTCTCGCTGCAGTCTGGTGCCTTGTAGGTGTGTGTTCTGGCATGAGCCACTAGATGGAGCAAACTCTCTGTAAAGAGGAGTGTTTGTGTGACTGTACCTGTTTGGTTAAATCTTCATTTTAAACTCACACACTGGACTAATGAGCGATACACTCTCTGACATGAAATGGAGGCTTATAGTTCACAGTGTTAGGTCAACATTTGACGTGTGTTTCATCCACTGCTTCTCAGCGATTGGTAGTGTCTTGTCTCTGATTGGTGTGTTTTTGTGTCCATCAGACTGTAGTTACACCTGTCACCTGGAGTGTGAGAGCCAGGTCCAGCTGGACTGCAACCGGAAGGACAGACAGCCTAAAGAAACTCCATCTCCCAGAAGACGCTGCTCCTCTGCAGCCCCTCAGCACAGGGTGAGCATTCAAATACTAAACAGAAAACTCACCCAGCAGAATTAAGAAGAGGTTGTGGAGAACTATTTTTAGGGGCACTACAGAAGAGCAAACACATTCGTCTAACATTGAGTGCGTTAAACTTTGTGTGTGTGTGTGTGTGTGTGCGTGTGGTGCAGAAGTGTACATGAGTCACAATTGGGTAATGCCAGGGTTCATTCTGCAGCATCTCTCGTAGCCTACACTCTTACATAATCCTCCTCCTCTTTCACAACATGCTGTCGCTCCACCTCAGTTGTCTACTTGTGAATGTATATATGCGCTCATCTTTTCTTTTTTTTTTTGTCACAGAATGTTCCCAGGATGCTCCGTCACATAAACATCTGACGTGTCTCCATCTGTCCTTTACCTGCTCTGTTGCCCTCATGGCCTCCATCCTCCTCCTCCTCCTCCTCCTCCTCCTGAAGTCTCTCTTTTCATCTCTGCTATCTTATATTATCATGTAGTATGGGCACTGATGGCCTGACTTCCTTAGCCTTTTTTATACGAGTGCTAACTAATTAATTGAATCCCTGTTCTCTGTAGGAACTTCCATTATGGAAGTTCCTACAGCTGTGTTAGCTTAACCAATTCTCAGATGCTATGTATGCTAGTGGAATACATTTAGTCATCCACTATTTCAAACGTTGAACTCAAAATCTATTCATACTCATACTGTACGAGCCACAGGATACAGTAATTATGTATAATAATTATGTTAAATTCATCCTCAAAATAGTGCTTCGCCCGCTCTTAGTGTATGCACATGTGAGTGTGCATGCTGCTCTTGGCAGCCCGGCCTCAGTCACCCACGCAATGTGGTCCAAACGCACACATAGCGTGCACAAAAGAAAGCTGGATAACCCCACAGGCCTGCAGCAGAACCTTGGCAGCTACTCTATGCCGAGGGGGCAGATAACGCAAAATTAAACCCCGGGTAGAGTGCCAGGTACTGCTTTTGCACACAATTATTCTGCCCTGAATTATGGGAATGGCGAGAATTGGAACAAAAAGGGGATAAATTGAGTACATTTTACCTAATGTCTTTTACCTTTCAATATTCCACATGTACTGCAACAAAACGATTGCATATCCTTTTTTTCTTTGAGTCATTTTTAGCTTATCCCCTGCTACTTCTTCTTTCCGAGTGTAATGACTGTGTAGTTAAAGATAATGAGCTGAAAGTCAGAATTTAAGTGAGCGTTGATGATGTCTGTCCTGAAGGTATCTGAACTCTCATTCCACACTCCAGTTCTGGTAGTACACGAGCACTGCAGACAAGAGGAGATATGACAGTTTATTTCCTGCAGTCCTCTTTCTCCCCTTTTGCTCTGTTTTATAGCTGCAGCCGTGTGTGTGTGTGTGTGTGCGTGTGTGTGTGTGTGTGTGGTTGTGTTCTATTCCCCCTCTGTCTTTACAGGCCCTTATTGTGTGTGCATCAGCAGAAATTGATCCACTTTTCCCTTTTAAGCACTGCTGCAGTCACACATACATGAAGCACTCTGTTCAGGCGTTATTGACTTGAAGCCAGCAGCAGTGTTGTTCAGCATGCATGTTTGTTTATGCGTGTGTTTGTGTGTATGTGTGTGTGCGTGTGTGTGTAGCATCCCACCCCCTGCACGCTGCCTTCTCCCTTAGTGATTTTACTGATGGGAGCGAGGAGCAGAGCCACAGGCAATCAGTCTTCGGCTGACTTCAAACCTGACACAAAGACACCAGATGAAAGGGTGACACACTGTCCCTTCACTATCATATAGGTTTACCTACAATCACGCGTGAGTGGATTTTAAAATCATACTGCACGCACAGAAACAGCACGTGCGGACAGATGATCATATGCGGCATCAATCTCAGCAGTGACAGGGGCATCAGCTGCTTTGTGACAAGGTGGGTCACTGCCAGAGTCAGAGGGCAGATTGCAGGATCAGCGTAAGGTTAGAGGTCACCGTAATGCCTATCCTGATGGCAATCTTTCAATATTTTCGTAATCTCACCTAAAGCACATGTGAGCCGTCCCCTCCACCGACAAAGGTGACATGCAGCTGTGGAGGTGATGTTGTACTTCTGGACTGTGTCTGTCCCCTGATTGATTTGGATGTCCAAAAAATACATAAAAACAATAGCCCTAAATATGGCATGGTCCAGCACAAAAGCCACATGTTTATAGTGGTTGTCATGGCTTCTAATAAACCGTTGCATCCTGCTGCAGAATCTCAGGATCTCACTAGAGAAGCAGCCATCTTCCCCCAGCCTCTCTGCTGCCTCCTGTCACTGCTGCACTTACGAATGTAACACAAGAGCCGTGAGGCTTCATATCTCTCACTCATAAGCATTTCTCTTTCTACTTAGCCATGTCTCTCTCTCTCTCTCTCTCTCTCTCTCTCTCTCTCTCTCTCTCTCT